GACTCAACCGGCGAGAGGGAAACCCGGGGGGGTTTTAGTGGGGTAGGTCCTCCAGTCTGGAGGGAGAGTCCCATAACCCGTCACATAATCCCTGTGTCTCCCTGCTCAGGGGTATCCATAAAGATTTCTTTCCGTCAAAAAAAAAAAAAAAAGATGAGCAAGTCGTCCGCCTGGTGGTAAACGACACGCCTATCCATGATAGTTGCAGTACCACTCAGAGCTTTAAATTACAAAGCTCTGAGGGGCCCTGCCACTGCTCTTGTCACCCTGAGGCACAAGTTAACAAGTCCCATGTGCCTGTAATTTCACCATAATAATAATACAAACACAATAATACAAATGTAATGTAAATTATGCTTTTTTACAGTCGTGTCTTATAAAACATACCTAGTTAAAACTTCATTATCAATCAAGAGCGATGGTTTGGTTCGCCTTCTATTTATGATTAGTTTGTTCTACTGTAAATAACCTTTATCAAATGCAGGTACTCAGATTGATAGTTTTATATCTCGATAATAGAAGTATGATTATTAAATTGAAATGAAATCTTAATTTGAGGCACTCTTGTTCAAACAATCATAAACACAACCACACGTCTACTGTTTGATGTCATTTCTTAAACACCATGCGAATGGTTCAATGCCATAATTAATGGCTCGTGTGATAATCCACGCTAATCAACGCGAGTGCCGTGCGTGATTATGGAAAAGTGTGCGTCCGCATACAACGTGCGGCAGGTATGCATGCATACAAGCCCCGCCGCTACCTTTGTATGGAGTTACACTACTGTCTTATTATATTATGATATTATTGTGGCCTTGAAGTCAGCCACGCTGTCCGCGTCACTGTAGCCGCAGTTAGATCTCCGAACATGGAGTTGTTAGGACAAGACATCGGGTCAAGATCATCGTCTGATTAGCACTGAGTAAACCATCTGGGTAAGAACCATCCGAAAATACTGAACAAATAGTTCTCGCTCCGGCTAACTTGATTCCGAAGCCTACTTAAAAACTTCCAGAAGTACCTTCTTTTCAATCTGTATCACTTACCTTGTGGTGAAACAAACAAAACAGTTTCGGTCTCATCATCATGTGCAATCGCAGTATAGGCTCTGTAGAGTTAGTGGCCAAAGCTAAAGGAACCTTATATTTGTGAAGATGAGTTAGTAACTTTTCAACACCTGAGAACAAAAAGTAATTTCTTTTTTTTTAATAAAATTTTTTCAAGGCACATTTTCTATACCGTAAAAACCTAATTACAAGAAGTTCTCTCCAATTAAGTTCTTATAAAAAGCACAGCTAGATTTTTTTCGATCATGTGGAGTTTGGTTTACTGATGATCATAATGTTTTGCTTTAACATTCAGCAAAACATCGTGGTACACCTGCGTGTCAAAAATATTTTAAAACTTTTCGTGTGAAAAAGCGTGTAAAATCCACAATCATTATTGCGCCAGCAACCTGGCGAACTGTGGCATAGCCCTCTTCTCTAGAAGCGAGCCTTAGAGTACCGATTATATTGGTTTATATACATAATTTGAAGCAAAAGCTCCGTCGTTATTAAAAGGAGTGTCCAAGACGCGACGGAACCGTTAGGTTTCTAGCGTGATTCAATGACATAATTAGCAAACGTGACAGGCGACATATTTTCATTTCATTTCATTTGACGACCTCGGTGGCACGACGGTTTGCATTGTGGGTGCTGGATGAGGAGATCCCGGGTTCAATTCCCTGTTGGACTAATTTGGAAATTATTTTTTCTAAATTGGTTCTTGGAAATTATTTGAAATGTCCGAACTTAAGCACTTATCTTTTAAACAATGACATTGTATTCATTATTAAGCCATACGCAAAACTGCGTGCAACACCTTGGTACTTGGTATTTTATTTTCTTTGGGAGTTTAGTTGCAAAACCATTAATTTAAAAATGAAATCATTTACAATATAAGCGATATTGGTATACTTTTCAGTTCCTGAAATATATAATAGGTTTACTTGATGTTAATTCAGTCTGTATTATATTTCAAATATATAATATATACAAACCTTATCTGTATGATTTACCTTGTCGGAGAGGAGCAAATGGCAATGATTTTCGACACGCGCTTTCCAGCTCTCGTTCAAAAAATGAAGCCGAGATAGGTAAAAGCAGTTCTTTTACCAGTCGTTGACTAACGTCGTGGTCTGTTAACCCTATCATCTGAAAAATCCATGCCACTGTTACGAGCAAGTCGATAAGCTCGGTCACTATGAATAATGGCCGGTCAGTATTAATAATGCCAGTACCAAATGTGCAATATAATTTATGAACCGTATGAATCATATTTCCCAGTCCCGGTTAGTATGAATAGTGACCACCCGGTCTTGGTCAAAGTAATAAAACAAATGATTTGTCGTGTTTTGGTAATACCTGGTCGAAATGATAAATTATGTGCGCCACATTAAGTCTCGATTTTTCAAATTGAACCACGGGCATTCGGTCATTATTAAACCATTTAAACAATTGATTCTCCACACAAAATATTAAACATTTGAATAAGTTACGTGACATAAAAATTATAATTTACAAACTTAACAATTTCAATTATAGTGTGGCAGGGGAACAAGCTCAGCACACGCTATGTATAGCATATGCTCATACATAGCACTGGTTTTCAGCTTGTCCCCGCTGTTGTGGACACGCAGATATATAAAACACGCGCACAGAAACATGAATTAAAATTAAATATAATGAAATTCAAAACACGTATATTTAAATCAGTAGTAATTCACAAATAGAGCTACTAACCATACAAATATAACTATGATTTTTTTTTATAAATTAGTGCGCATTTGGTAGAAAGTGACGATGAGGTCAACGATGGAGCATGCACACCGGAATAATCCCTATTCACTCTCGCCTTGAAAAGGCCCGAGTTATGACGTTCAGGGAACAAGTCTGCAGGCAGGGAATTCCACTCCATAGCCGTTCGCCAAATAAATGTGGAAGCATAACGCTTCGTGCGAATCTTTGGAATATCCACAACATAGGGGTGGAACCCAAGCCTACGCCTAGTCCCCCGATGATGGAAAGGGGAAGGCGGAATTAAATCCTGTAATTGCGTCGCACACTCTCCGCGACATATCCTGTAAAATACCGATAAGCAGGCAACTTTACGATGGTGGTCAAGGCTCTGCAGCTTCGCCTCCACTAATTCCGAGTTACCTATAAGCCTCTTGACACGGTTGTCAATTGAATCCAAAGTGGCCAGTTGGTATGTAGCAGAGCCATCCCAAAGGTGGCAGCAGTACTCCATGCACGACCGGACTTGTGCTTGGTACAGCTGAAGCAACTGTCCCGGTGTAAAGTCACGCCTTACCCTGGAAAGGATACCAAGCTTCCTTGCTGCATTTTTGGCCATGGATTCAAACATACATAGAACACAAATCACTACAATTAATACCAGTACACTATCAGCTGTAATAGATTTAATATAGTAATATTATTATATACTAGAAGCATGCTTCCTTCTTTTTGTGACTTCAAAAATAAACCATTAAGCTGCGAAATCAAACACGATTGGGACATTAACACTGATCGCTCAAAATAATCAATTCATCAATCTGGCTCATACTCTCGGTCATTATTCATAATGATCGGTCCATATTAATAATGCGCAATTAATAAAGCTGCCCGTGACACCACTGTTACGATATTTAGAAAGTTTGCACAAGAAAATACATTGTTTTCTCAATCTCAGGGCGCCTTCAAATTAGATGCTTATACAAGCGCTGCAGTGGCGTGACTGTGGCGCTGCAGCCGCGCGTTCAGTAATTTGTTGTTACAATCAACGTCGTGACAGTGCCGAAATGCAACTACGCTTTTAAATATTGTATGAAAATAAGCGTCTAATTTAAAGGCGGCCTCAGAAATATATTGCTGACCACAGCACGCCAAGGTAAACAAAGTTGACTTTCTACTTGCTCGTCATTATAATTACTTATAGGGTTTGTTTTTTTTTCATGCAAATCAACGTTTGGGAGCTTTTTGCAGGTCTCAAGGTCGCGCCTGACTGTTTTGTGGATTTTTGTTTGAAAAAATAAATCTACGCAATTCAAGTCCGCAAAAAATTATTTCATTTCCAACCGACCAACGACATATAATAAATTATGCATCAAAGAAACCTGCTGCGACCTACAGGCCTGGAAACCATCCGTAATTGCTTAAGCAACATTATTGCTGTACATTGCAAGCACGGTAACCTCATTAATACCTCAGGATGTCCAACACAATAAGACATTCAGACATCGATATATTACAATCGTATTGCGCTCTAAGCCCATAGTTTTTTTCTTTATGATATCAAGTGACGACGGCAAGAACCACTCGTGCGCCTGGTGATAAGCGACACGCCAGTCCATAACAGTCGCCGTGCCACTCAGAGCTTTAAATCACAAAGATCTGAGGGGTACTCCCACTTCGTCCGTCAGCCTGCTTGGCGGCAGACATAGATAAGGTGGCAGTATTTCCATGGACGAACTCATTCATTATGGTATTGAGGGTGAGGCCAGACGAGCGCAATTTTGTGAGTTGTGAGTTGCGCAGTTTACGCTGGACCGAAATTCAGTTGGAGCGCCAAACGAACGTATTTTATTCAGTTGCTATTTAAATGCTTATACCAAAGTGACCCCTTCCCTCACCCCTGCCAGAGAACAAAAAGTAAAGAGAACGGACACTCTCCGCCCCTCCCTAGCTTTAGATACCGCACCACGCCCGGCACATTACCGGTCACATTGACTGAACGACAACAAGGCTGCCGGCGAGCTGTTTTCACGCGAAGACGGCTTTGATATTTGAATATAGTTTTCATTTATTCATTATGAAACTTGTACGTTAATATAATCATCATTTTGTTTTACTATTCGTAATGGTCGTGAATTGTGCTGTGTATGGCTGTTTATCATCATTTTCCGAAAGATGAAACGAAGTAGGTAAGTAAAAAAACTTATATCTGAGACTCATTCAGTTATTGTTTTCTTCATTTATTTACTGCACGGTAATATATGTAGGTATAAAAAATACAGATTTATTATATGAATATAATGAATGAGGCGCCATGACTTCGTGAGCTAATAGACAAGGGTTCTCGACTTTTCAATTCATATTGCCGATAAATATTACGTAAGTAGCGAATATACCTAATTATTAACTAAGTAATGATGATAAACTTGGACACGCAATTTCAAATATCTTGGTTACCTTATATAAAAGTACATGTCCAAAATATAACATTTTGAGTGCTTCTAATATATTTTTTAAATAAATCTTCAATATTACTCTAGTTAGGGAGTTGATGAAAAATATGATATTATATCGATATAAATACATAATAGATATGTGTAATCATTAGGATTCTGGATTCTATTAATATCACAGATAATAGATTCGCGTTAGCATCTTCGCTATGTTGCCGCTCTGATCACGTAACATAATAGTGCAAGAAAGTGATGGGTAACCCTGCCACGCCTCGCACACATTTGCGCGTGTTGCAGATTGTACCTTGTTGTATGTAGTAGTAGTAGGTAAATAATTTTCGACCGTTTTATGGAGTGTGTGTCCCTCGGCCCGCGCCAGCCCCTCACACGATGCGACCGAAAGTTAGTCGTCATTACGCCCGTGTGTCGGCAGATAACTCATTTTGCGTCGTCGTGTGAAACAAACCGTACTTTTATACGAAACCGAATGCAGCGCAAACTACACGACTCACAACTTACAAAATTACGTTCGTCTGGCCTCACACTAACTACAGTCGCAGGTGTGGAAAAATTTGCATTAAGTACATCTTATAAATCTTATTCTTCTTTTTTCAACCTCTGTCCACCCAATGCTAAGTGCTGGTTTTTTTCAATGCCCTTCTTGTGCCTTCCTCATCCCATATTTACCCACCATTTCGACAAGGTTGTCAGTTCAGCGCATTGGCTGCCTACTTACGTTCCTATACCCTTTTCTGGGAATTCCACCAAACATCGTTGTACCCCATCTATGTTATTTGCATTGCATGTATTTTCTGCTGGCTGTTTCGTTACCTTGGACGTCGTTAAGACGAGTCATCGAAGGAGAAGCGGGAAAAACTATTTTGCTTGGTCAAATGATTTTGGTACTTATTGTTAAGTTAACATCTTACAAAAAATACACAATACACCTAAGGATATTGTCTAAAGAATGTGCTACTTTGTTTCACGATAGGATGTACCTTAATTGATGATATAAAATCCTGAAAATAGACAAAAAGTCAAGTAAGTAACTTTGCACATAATTTTTATATGGAGATATTTCTCTTTAACTACTACAGAGACCCTCTAAATTTTGGTTTTCAACTAAAGCCCTATAGTATTAAATTCATATTTATACCAAAATTTGCAAATTACCCAGCATAGGTCTAACGGCACGCCGCACATAGGAGTATTTACATCAAAAACCTGGCCAAAAGTAAAAAATGTAAAGTATTTTAAATTTCACTGCAACCGACCATTTCTTAGACCTAATTACCTGCTACTTCATATCCCCACCCCTCGTGACTCCCACTGTTTATCCCTATTTACACGAGCAATCTGAACTCAGTATTCAATCAGCATTGGTTTGTAATACTTGGTGACGTCATTTGCATAACGTTGTTCCCGTGGTGTTTTGAGTGGTATTTTTTAAATAACTGTTTTAAATATGGAAGGTGAAGGTATGTACTTCAATATGAAGCGTTTTATTCCTACTTGTATTTAAGGAAATAATTTTTCGTTTATTATTTAAACAATTATAAATAAATTACTGTAATATTTTCAATATTAGTGTTTTTGTATATGTCCCGGGACGTATCCAGTTATTATATCTTCATCAAAATTAAGTTCAGGGTTTCCTTAAAATGACCTTAAACGAAATAGTTCCACTTTCTTCCCCCATTTTGTCTACGACATGTTTAAACTTAAAAGTATTTATTTTCATATTTTTATTGGTTTTGTATATGCCTTCTTTTCTTTTCAGGTTCTTCTAGATCTTTCAAAGAAATGACTAAAATGTCATTGTATAACATAATACAAGAATGTCCAAGTAAGAATTTAGACGAAAAAATTTTATTTTTGGAGAAAAAGCTTAGAGAACTGACAAAATGTCCAGATGGCGAACTTCATAGAATAAAACGTATTTTATATCAGTTTAAGTCCACCTTTAAGCGAAAATGGGCAGCAGCTAATTACACGGAAACGCGTTTTCTGAAAAGTAATGAAAAATGGCTGAATAACTCAATTAAATTTTACATTTGGACTACGGAGAAATCGGGACGACCAAGAAAGAAGTTTAGCGAGTCAAGTGAAAGAAGTAAACGACGAAAAACAAAAGACTTGAAAGAGCAAGTACCTGCTGAACAGTTAACTTATGCTGCACAAATGAGTCAACGTGCTGAAGGAAATACAGAAGTGTCGAAAATCATAAAAGATGTTACCTTAACTCCGACAAGAGGTAAAAAGTTCCGAAAGGTTATGTCTTCGGCAAATAAGAACAAAATCACAAAACACTCGCCATCTGAGGCATTGGCTATCTTTGTGGAGGGAGATTTCACTCGGAGGCAGTGGGAAATATTACACAAGGCAAATAGAAGTATTTATCCTTGCTATTCTGCAAAACAGGAATGCTATCCAAAGGAACAATCCATAAGTGTTACTGAAACATGTGCTGATATTATATTACAAGACTTACTCGACCATACTTCGTTACGATTGTGCAAGTATTTGGCAGAAGTTATAGAAACTTGTACAGTAGAAGAAAAGAACAACTTGCAACTTATCACAAAATGGGGCTGTGACGGCTCCCAGCAATCCCAATACAAACAAAAGTTTGAAAACATGTGTGATAGTGATGCAAATATCTTCCAAAGTTCGCTTGTCCCGTTACGACTACAAACATATACTACTGGTCCAAAAAGAACTTTATGGCAGAATCCAGTGCCATCATCTCCGAGGTACTGCAGACCGATAAGAATACGTTTCATTCACGAAACTAAAGACGTAACCAACGAAGAAATGAAATATATAGAGAGACAGGAAAGAAATTTAAAAAAAACCGAAATCTCAACTACTAGCGGGATACTTCATATCAGACACATCCTACTACCAACAATGGTGGACGCTAAGATTTGCAATGCAGCCACCAACACGGCTTCTACAATGAGATGCTATATTTGTGGCCAAACTTCCAAAGATTTTAATAATTTGAGCCAAAGAAGGAAAGATATTAATCCTGAAACATTAAGATTTGGGCTTTCTAGCCTACATGCCAGAATTAGATTCTTCGAATCATTATTACATCTGTCCTATAAGTTGACAATTAAAAAATGGCAAGCAAGATCAGATATAGAAAAAAAAAATTACGAAAGAGAGAAAAGAAGAAATTCAAAAAGCATTTAGAGACGAAATGGGCCTTTTAGTTGATATACCAAAGGCAGGGTTTGGGAACACCAACGATGGTAATACGTCTAGAAGATTTTTTGCAGACCCTGATACAGCTTCCCGAATTACTGGAATAGACAAAAATTTGATCCAAAGATTTAAAGTGATCCTAGAAACCATGTCAAGTGGGTATACGATTGATGTAGAGAAGTTCGGTGTTTACACATACGACACTGCTAAACTGTATGTACAGCTATATGGGTGGCATCCAATGTCACCCACTGTACACAAAATTTTAATACATGGTGCTGTTGTTATTTCACATTTTGTATTACCAATCGGGCAGCTCTCAGAAGAAGCTGCGGAAGCAAGAAACAAGCATTTTAAGCGCTATCGACTAAACTTCTCCCGTAAATTTTCAAGGGTGACGTGCAATAGAGATATATTAAACAGGCTATTATTAACTTCCGATCCATTACTTAGCAGCAGCAGACCACAGCCACGTAAAAAGAGTAAGCCTTTTCTTCTGAAACAATAAGCCTTTTGCTTCCTGAAACGCAATATGGTCAAACTGAAAGCAGCGACGAAGAAGAGGATGATGTTACCTACGAATCAGATTTTGATGACTAATTTTGTACTTTGAAAATGATGTTTGTTCTTTATAATCTTAAAATACACTTTGAAAAACATATTATATAGTTTATTTATGCATTACCATATCATAAATTACAATAAATAATTTTGGCCAGGTTATTGATGCAAATACTCCTCTGTGCGCCGCGGTGCTTGCTGCCCCGTCATTCGCCATCAGGTGCTATCAACAACGGATCTGTGTCAAATTTTCTCCGCCTGTTCTTATTTTATTCATATTAATTGTCAGCGCGCGGGTTGCGGGACGCGAGCGGCGGTCCCACACACCACCTCCTAAAATGTAGGCTGGCGTTGCAATACCTCACCTTCAGATTCATTCCTCTCCGGATCTCTGTGTTACTGAAGTTTTGTAGCAGACCCCTTGTGAAAGAGTTCATCCAGGGAAGTACAGCCACCTTACCTATTTCTGCCGCCAAGCAGTAATGTGAGCTGCGTTCCTGTTTTGAAGGGTAAGGGTGCTGGTGACTTTTTACATTACAGGCACATGAGACTTATCAACTTATGTCTCAGGGTGACGGGCGCAGTGGCAGTGCCCCTCAGTTCTTTGTGTTTTAAAGCTCTGAGTGGCACTGCAACTGTTAAGGACAGGCCTGTCGCTTAACATCAGGCGCACGCCTTATTAGTCTCATCACTTGGTATCAAAAAAAATATCTCGGAGAGAGATACCCAACATAACCAGGTCCATAATTCTTTGGGTGACTAAAAATCTACTGAGTTACATATTATTTCTTGTGCCCTACGGTCCATTTAATATCCACATTACGACGTAATGAAAAAAGCATACCTCCTTTGCTAATTCCTTCGTATACTTTTTGCCATATTTGTTACAAAGTTCACCAACTACTTCATGGTACATGCGCTCGGTATCTGAAATTTAAATATTTCTCTCTGAAAAGCATTACAACTTCTCGTTAAGGGTTTAACACACCCCATGATTGCAAAGGGGCAAGCTTAAAAAATAACTAACAAAAAAATTTACGGTTCAAATTCGGGTCCGTGAACACCTACACGGTAAAAACAGATTACTTAGAAAAAGACAAAATTCTTTTTATGAACACAAATTTATTAAATCCAACAAAACGATTCTCTCCCTATAGACGCTAGAGAATAATTACTTGATAATAGTAAAAAAACGTCTCAAAAGTGTATTTTCGTTACAAGACAAAAATATTTAATCCAAGAGCAAATTAATTTACTTCAAGTCACAAAGCCACTCTAGATTCAACAAAATATTTATTTGTTACTGTACGGCACGGGATTCGTACCGCCACTGAGCTAGTGGTTCTTTACGCTCCGAGACGGTGAGGGTCGAAATAAAAATGAATGAATGAATGAATGAATGAATGAATGAATGAAATGAATGAATGAAATGATACTTTATTTCTCATCACAAACTAGCTTATGATAACAATTAGCTTACAGAAAAATATAAACAAGTTGGGCATGCTGGTTTGTGAGAGACTGGTGCCCGAGATAGGTTTATAAAAAACCTGTATTACAGGTCACCAGGCTTCCACTCCACAGATGTATAATATGTTTATGACATATTGATTATGATATATGAGAACGCTAAGAAACTTAACATGTAATCTAAAACTAAGTTCCACGCTATAATAAAAAACGAGAACTAAAATAAGCAAAAATAACCTCTAAGACTCAACTATAATAGAGAGTATGAATGTGGGGCATGTGTAGTTGCTTGATTTGGTGAATATTAAGTGTGGTGAGTAGGGTGAGTATGGGGTGTGTGGTATGTAATAGCGTGAATTGCGAATGTGGATATTTAGGCGAGAGTACTGTTGATCAGTCAAAAGAATTGTAGGGTCATTCAAGGACAGACAGTAATTGTTCAGTGCCGTCATAATTTTGGGTCTTAAGCCAGTCAGTGATAATTTTTTTACAGATTGTCTTTGTTAGCGCGTAAAAGGAAAGTTTAGTATTTAATCTGTTATACAAGTAGGGTGCAAGAAAATAAAAGAAATGCTGAGAGAATCCTGTATTAACTGGTTGGGCCTGACAAACCATGCCCTTTCTACGTTTGTCTTTGGTCAGATCCGGATCATATATCAGAAGGGAGTGCTTTTTGAGGACTGTGTTAAGAACAAATAGTTGTCTAATGGTAAGGACATCCCATTTCTTATAAAGGTCACTAGTAGGGTAACGGTAAGGAAGACTAGCCCCCACCTTTAATATAGCCCGTTGAGCCCTCTCCAGTTCAATGAGATGAGTTTTGGATGTCCCACCCCACGACGTTATACAATACCCAATAATAGATTGGCAAAGGGCATAATAGACCGTTGTTAGCGTTTTCCGGTCTGCAACATACCGCAAGGTCCTGAAAATATAGATGAGCTTGCGTAAACGAGGTACTACAGATTCGATATGAGGTTTGAAGGTAAGCGTCTGATCTATGATGATTCCCAGATATCGAATAGATTCAGTTCTTATAAGAGACGGACAGCGGCAATCTAGGCGTCCCAGGTTACAGGATGTATGCGCCCTAAGAGTTAGATTCAACGACGGTAGAAGATGGGATCGAAGTGCAAAGGCCATGTATTTGGTTTTTGATACATTGAGGGTTAATAAATTCTTCCGCAACCATGCGCACACAACATTGAAACCGCACTGCGCAGAGACAAAGACCTCGTCCCAGCTTCGGCCGCTGAAGAAAAGCGCCGTATCATCAGCGAATGTAAGTATTTTGCTATTACGGAGATTTAGGTTGCATAAGGTGTTAATAAAGACCAAGAACAGGGTAGGCCCAAGAATGCTACCTTGGGGGACGCCGTATGTCACAGGGAGCTCATCACTCAGCCATTGGTCGATCCTAACACACTGCTTCCGGTCTGTCAAGTAATCCCTAAATAACTCAAGAGTAATTCCTCTCACTCCCGTCTCCTCGAGCTTGTGAATGAGAAGGGGTACAGAGACTGTGTCAAAAGCCTTTGCCAAGTCAATAAATATGGCAAGGCATTTTCTCTTGTTATCAAGATTGGTCACTATAGAGTCTACTAATTCATGAACTGCATCGTCAGTAGAAAATCCAGTACGAAAACCATATTGGGAAGGTGAAATAAAGTTGTGCGACTCCAAGTAACCGATAAGCCTTTTATTCATAATGCGTTCTAGGATTTTAGACATCGCTGGAAGAATGGAAATAGGTCTAAAGTTGTTGGCACAGTCTCTGCCCCCACTCTTGTGAATAGGCTTAATGAGAGCAGTCTTGAAAGCCCGAGGGAAAACTCCAGTTGAGAGAGCCAAGTTGCAAATGTGTGTGATAGGTAATGCGAGAATTTGAACGTATCTCTTTAAAAATTTTCCTGATACCTGATCCAGACCCACAGCGCTACCATCTTTAAGATTCGCAATGAGTCTAGAGACCTCATTCACGTCAGTGGGCATCAGTACAAGTGAACTGCTGGGGGACGGTGTACACCCATTACAAACCGGGTCAGACGGCAGCGCGTTAAGTAAGGATTGCTGGGCAAGTTGTTCACCAACACCAACAAAGTACCTATTAACTTCATTGATGCTTTTGTACGGGTTCTGTTGCCCTATCAAGCTAGGTGAATGATCCACTACTTTGTTATGACCACAGATAGTTTTAATTACAGTCCACATTGACTTATTATTATTCTTACTCTTCTCAATCTCGTGCTTTTCGTAGGTTATTTTAGCTTTCCTTATCATCGAAGTACAAAAATTTCTGTATCTTTTGAAAGTTAATTTTAACACCTCATTATTAGGGTCTTTTTTTAGTTTTCTGAAAAGGTTGTCTCGGTTTCGCATACATTTGAGCAGAGCTGTTGTAATCCATGGCTTATAAACTCTTTTTCTGTTGGGTATGTTGACTAGTCTCGAATTCTTAGTGATTGTCATTTTTACTAAATTAAGTAATGTATCAGTGGCAGTATTAACTTCAGTTGCATTTAAGATTGTTGTAAAATTTAAGTTACCCATTTCGTGATCCATATAATCATAATTAATTCTAAAACTGTGCTTAGAAGAACATTTCAGTCCAGTGCTAAGTTTAAGAGTGAGTGCAACACATTGATGATCAGTGATGGTCGAATCAAATACAATACATGTAGGGTTTAATTTAGACTTGATCATCATATGATCTAAACAGGTTTTGCCATGGGTTACAGCAGTGTGACCCGGTAGTAAGCTATGACTCGCCAGAATTATGAGATATTCATGCGAGCGCTTGTCATTGGTCGAAGGGACGATATCAATATTTATGTCACCACATAGAACAATATTTTTGTAACAATTAAATTTAGTTAATATTTCGTCAAGGGATAAATTAAATTGGGAAGTGTCATAATTACTTGGTGGACGGTAAATGGCCAATATGCAAGTTTCCGAATTAAGTTTTAGTAAAATGCAGTTTGCGTCTACAATACAAGGCTCTTCGCTCGAGATATTTAATTTCTCATTATAATAGACAACCACACCTTCATTTTGTGTTTTTTGATTTGTTGTGCATACGTAATTATAACCATTCAGAGGCGGTATAAATTTGGTCGTAAGTAGCCAACACTCAGTCAGTACAATCACATCCCAATGAATAGTTGATCTGGAAATGAGGGTAATAAAGCTGTCAAAATTACAAGTAAGGCTCCTAATGTTTTGCGAAATAATATTTAATGAGTTGTCGCTCGTTACATACGTTTTTGCATCTTCAATGCTACAGGATATTGTATTTGCTATTATCAGTGAATCCAGACTCAAACTAAGAGGTTCCGTTTTGTTGAAGGCCATTACGATCCCGTCAGACGGGGCATGATACCGTAACCCCGCATGACACAATCGCAGCTGTTTTTTACTATATTAAAATAATATTTTAAAATTTTATTTGAGTCTGGGAATAACCCAATACAACGGCAAACCGCATCATAGCTTAGTTTACCATTGTAAGAGGTTTTTTCACTATATTTGTTACTAGAATAACGAAAAGCTAAGCACAGTACGATCATTACATCGCCATAAGAATGTAGGAAAAGTTGTGATTGTTTTGTGTGTTGGAGTAGTTGAGTGTACGTGTGCGTGTACAGAGATGGTGTGTGAGTTTTTATGAGAGGCATAATAGTATTATAATTATGAACAATTTGTAACGATAAAGATAAGAAAGTGACAAGGTAGAAATATGGGTTAAGTAACATAATGCTTATAGCTAACTTATGACAGGAATTCATAATGTGATAAAAAGTTTCTAAAGTTGACGATAGTCACATAGTAATTTTATAAAGGTCAGCTTCCTCACAGATACGGATCGAAGCCGAGTCTTCTTGTTTTTTAACATATAGCTTCCCATAGGATGTCCACGCCGCAGCTATTTTCTTATTTTTAGCAAGTTCACGGGCAGTGCGGAAGAGTTTGCGGGTTTTAGTGGTGAGTGACTCGGATATAAATATCAGGCGGGGGGGTCCTTCTAACTTGATCTCGTCAGTGCGAAACGGGTGGTCCTTATTTTCTTTCCTGAACTTAATTTGTTTTTTATATTTGGAGATCAGGGAATCCTTGTTATAAATTGTTGTAAATTCCACCACAATGGCCTCAGATTTGGCACGGTAGATATGTTTTATGTCAGAGTTGTGCAACGGTACTTCTAGGCCGACTGCTAACCCAATATCCTTTACGATATTTGATAAAGACTGTACAGATTCCTTGGGTAGTTTAGGGATGTTACGTATTTCGATACAGGAGTTACGACTGGTCTTTTCAAAGGCTTCAAGTTTACCTTCCAATGCCGAAATCCTTTTCTTTAGTTCACCATTTTCTGTTTCGAGTGAGTTCGTAATGAGCAGTAACTCATCGTATCGGTTAGACATAATATCAACAGTTTTTTTAATACTTTCATTTTG